TGTGTTTTTTATAGTTGTTGAGTTGTAATTGCTAACTTGAGGCTTCCTGATTAGGTAGATTTCAATCCTGTATTTTAAGTTCAGATCATGTGGTCTATCCCTAACATATATTTTGTATTTTCTCTCTTTCAATAACTGCTGCCTCAAAGGGAAAAAAAAGCAAATCTTTTGCTGAATGGTCTGGTAGTAACAGATCTGAAATTCTTAAAATGTTAGGACTAGAAGCTACTCTCCCCACAATCAATGAGTTAAAAAGAATGAGAGAGAGAAAGAAAGACGGAATTTGACAGCCACACACACAAAGAGACGGAGAGAAAACTGGGTCTTGTAGGGAGACAAGAACTCCCAGTTCTAGACCCTCACCAGGCCTGTGGCCTTAAGTTCTATTTCTTATGTGCAAAATGGGACTAATAACACTGCATGCAGTATAGGCTTGTTGTGAGAGTAAAATGAAGCAACAAACAAAAACATATTAAGAATGATAGGGAGATGCTATTAAAGGTCAAATATTGGTAGAAAGTAAATTGGATACTGGGTAATGGTGTGTTTGGTTTTATTAATAATAAATAATGAACTAAATAGATATTTTAGATATTTACTAAAAAAGGAACTGCTTGGCAAAATAATTCAATATAGTATAATGTTAAATCATGAGGCTTCCTATTGCCTTAAATATTTTCAACAAATGCTCTATTGAAGTATAATTTGATTGCGATTTTGAAATAATTGAATTTACAATAATTTAACTTACAGATTTTAAGATCACATTTACTGCATTGGGTAAAGTAGGATGTGTCTGTAATTTACTAACAGGGATAGAAGTGGGGCTTGAACGGATAAGGATATTGTTATGTAGTATTTAGTGCAAATGGTGTAAAACGATGAATGTGTACTACGTGCCAAGGTTTTCTCTAAAATGAGCCAGCTGTAAAAGTCAGTGCTGAGCCAGTTGAATTCAAGAAATATTTAATTAGCGCTTGTGAATTCCAAAGAACCCTGTTGGGTACCGAGGAGGAAGCAAAGATGATTAGTATCAGCCAGAGGGAGACAAGACAGGAACTCAGTAACTAGGCACCAAAGGAATAGGGTAGGGCATCGTACTGTAGAAAAGGTAGAACCTGGCGGAGCTTGAAATAATTTAACTTTTCCTGCTTGTATTTTTTTCCCTTCTTTTTCTTCTTCTTCTTCTTCTTTTTTTTTTAAGTAACTACTTTGGATCCCTTTTACACATACACCAAGTCACTTGTCTGCAGAGAATTCGAGACCCTGTGAAATATCCCCTATTCCCTCTTCCTTTCCTCGCATATTTGATGAGCTCCTCTGCCACCAGCACTGCATTTGGAATGGCATCTATTGTGTGGGTGGTGAAGCAATGGAAAGTTATTTTTGTTCTAATTATGAGAACTGCTTTGTTGACAAGGGATAAGGGGGAGGAGAGGCAGATCGGAGACTGAGACGCGCAGCGAGGATGCTCGAGGAGGCGTTACTAAGGTTACTAGAAAGAGGACGGCGGGTGATATTCAGACAGGGTCTTTTTCTAAAACAAAACATATTTTCAAACGAGGAGCGTGGGCTTCGTATGAGCAGTGCAACACAATATTACATGCTGGGATCCCGGAGGGAAATGGAAGGAGGCCCAGGAAAAAAGCCCGATGCTGCGACTTGAGGAAAGCTGGGAGCCTCCACCTTCCCCTCCGGCCCTATTCTCCCGCTGCCTTTGTTTCCCGGGGCTTTTTCGACTGTAGCACAAGGGCGGTGCGCCGGGGGACGGTGTCATTTAAGTGAGACGCGCGGCCGAGCCGGACCGGAAGCAGCGACCAGCCGGGACCCGTAGGCGGGGAGCGGGTTGCGGCGGTAGCGGCAGCGGCAACGGCGGCGGCTGCGGCGGGTCTGCGCGACCCGGGGGACAGGGCCGGTGCTGCAGCGGCTCGCTCAGGCCGTGAGTCGTCGCTGCAGACGCCGGCAAAGAAGGGGGGCACGGACTAACTTGGCAGAGCAGGGAGGAAGGGAGGGGTGTGTGAGAAGAGTCATGAGTGTTTTTGCGGTCGGGAAGGACCTCGAAACTTGGTCGTATGTTACTAGTTAATTTTATATATGTTTGTATGTATGTATGTGATAGATTCTGGAGACATCCGGCGTCTCCCTTCTCCAATTTTCTCGGGCCTTGTCAGTTGCTTCGTAGTCTGGAGTGAGTGAGTGCTTTTTTTAGTCCAACGACTGAGTTGAAATGGGTATGAAATGGATGAAGCCGCCAGTGAGAAAAGAAATGAGACAGGGAAGAGGAGCAAGAGTAGGAGGTGGTGGCGCGGGGTGTGGGAACCAGGTGACGACGATAACAGTAATTAACGTTGATAGGGTTTTACTGTACCAGAATCTGTTCTAAAACCCGTTGTATGCGGTAACTCATTAAATGCCCAGTACTGTGAGACTGGTACTCTAGTTAGCCGCACTTTATAGAAGGGGAAACAGGCTTCCAGAGGTTAAGGAACACGTCCAAAGAAAGACACGAAAAGTTGCAGAGCCAGGAATTACATTCTGGCAGGCTGATCCCAGAACACATCTCTAAGCTCCACACAAGTGGTTGTCCCCCATCAACATGTGAGGAAAGTGAGGACAAGGAATGAGGCTGGTATGATTTGGAAAGATGTGATAAAACAGCAGGTGCAAGGAGTTAACATGATAAAAAGTGTGAGATCCAGGTGTGTCCGATGTAAATGATAGTTAAGTTGGAACTGTGGCCTAAACTTTTGCCTTGGACTTTCACTGGAGCCATCCTCTTGAATTCTGTGGGACAAGGAAGAGAGATATATACCCCACACCTGAGTTTGAAATGGAATTATAAAGATCACAGACTCATAGGATTTAAGGATTTTTTGATGTAGCCACTTTATTTAGCTGATGAAACTTAAATGAAGTAGTTTATTCAAGTAGCCAGCACCAGAAGCATATTTTTGTCTTAGGTCCAGTGCAGTGAAGCTTAGGGTGTTCTTTCCTCTTTATGCTGTACTTGCTATAGTGAATATTAGAGTTTAAAAAAAATGTGATATATATCATTTGACCAGGCCTGGTTCCAGGTAGCCATATGATTTGGGTATTTATGACATGAAACATTAGTCAAGTAATCCATCCATCCCCTATTAATGTGTTCCCAAATTCAGTGTAATGCTGAAACCAGGAGCTTGTAACACAACTGAGTGACTGTTGAGATCTTTCAGTGTTTCTAAGAATTTTGATTAAGAAATGAGTTAAAACAAAATAAAGTTGATTAGAACATAGAACAAGGTGTTTTACTTTGAAGAAACTAGGTTTAAAAGAAAAAGGAAATCTCCACATATGAAAAAAGATAGGAAAATTTTCATCAATTGTGTACTGTTCACACTAATGGGAGTATAATAATAAATAATACATAAATAAACATAATAATAAAAATATTAGCATATTCCAGAGAAGCAGTTTGTAGTAACTGAGGTCATGGGCTTAAGAAACAGGTGAATCAGCTTGGTCACATATTTGCCCCATATTATTGGTTTATTTTGTTCTAGTTTTTTTTTTTTTAATTGAAGTATAGTTGATTTACAATCTTGTGTTAGTTTCTGGTATACAGCATAGTGATTCAGCTATACATATAGTATTCTTTTTCATATTCCTTTTCATTATAGTTTATTATAAGTTATTGAATAGAATTCCCTTTGCTATACAGTTGGATCTTGTTGTTTATTCTGTGTATAGTAGTTTGTATCTGCTAATCTCAAACTCCCAATTTACTTCCCCTCTTTCCCCGTTGGTAACCGTAAGTTTGTTTTCTATGTCTGTGAGTCTTTTTCTGTTCTGTAAATTTTGTTTTGTAAAGTTCATTTGTGTCATTTTTTTTAGATTCCACATGTAAGTGATATCATAACGTCCTTAAGTTCTTCATCTCTAAAATGGAGATAATAGTTCCTAGCTAGCAGAATTAAAAGCAGTGTTTGGAATAATGCCTGGAACAAAGTTGATGATAAATACACAGCAACTGTTATTACTCTGAGTCAAATAGAAGTAAACTGTTGCTCCACTTGTGGGTATATATCCAGAGAAAACTCTAATTCTAAAAGATACATGCACCTGAGTGTTCATAGCTGCACTGTATACAATAGCCAAGACATGGAAGCAACCTAAATGTCCATTGACAGATGACTGGATAAAGAAGTTGTGGCATATTTATACAATAGAATACTATTCAGCCATAAAAAAGAATGATGCCATTTGCAGCAACATGGATGGACCGAGAGATCATCATTCTAACTAAAGTAAGCCAGAAAGAGAAAGACAAATACCATATGATATCACTTATATGTGAAATCTAAAAAAAGAAGATAAAAAAGAAACAACTCATCTACAAAACAGAAACAGACTCACAGACATAGTAAACAATCTTATGATTACCAGGGAAAGGGGGTGGGAAGGGATAAATTTGGGAGTTTGAGATTTGCAAATGTTAGACACTGTATATAAAAATATATATTAAAAAGGTTTTAAAAATTCTGCATAGCATGGGGAACTGTATTCAATATCTTACAATAACCTTTAATGAAAAAGAATATGCAAATGAATATCTGTATCTATATGCATGACTAGGACATTGTGCTGTACACCAGAGAGTGATACATTGTAATTGACTGTACTTCAATAAATTTTTTTTTTTTTTAAGTAAAGCATTGCTGAAACTTGTAGGCAGTGACATGTCAGCTTCTAGACCTGGTTTCCAATGGAAAGGTCGAAGAATAGTTTCCCTTGTTGGCCTAATGGTAATGAAGGTGAAAATGATTCATTTTCTGAAGGGTAAGTTTGTTACTTTAAAGTGAATGAAAGTTTTAGGTGACTAGATAGCCCATGAACATGATAAACCCACCACAATCCTTTAAAACTATTGTGACTTTTAAAGTTAACTAATTTGTGGACTATTCTGTTTCCTTAACAATGAGCAACTTGGGTTCTGAGTAACTGACTATACTTCTTAACAGATGCACGGTCACGGAGGCTATGACTCCGATTTTAGTGATGATGAACACTGTGGAGGATCTAGCAAAAGGAAAAAAGGTAAGTAATTTTTTTATTGATCTGTGTTTCCTCTATCCTTTCTAGATTGAGATGAGGTATAAATAAGTAATATTGAGAGTTTTAGGATTGTGTTTGCATGTGAAGACAATGATGCTCTACTGAGTGAATTTTTGTTCATCAAACTATTAATGAATTGACTCAAAAATTTGAGCCCAGTTGTGTGAAAAATTTCAAAAATAAGGTTTATGCTGTGAAAGGATTTATGGAGAGTGTGGGGGTAAAAAGGAAATCAGGTAAAGCTCTTAAATTACTCTTGCATTTCTACTTTTCATTTAACTGTCAAGGGCTCTTGTGACTGTAATAGCTAAGAAGGGGCTTGGTTGGTGATCCCTTTGCTTGGCTGCACCTGACTTCGAAAGAGATTAGTGCAGAGGATGAGATTATGATGCAGCACAATTCTCATGGTTTTATGAATGAGCAGACTAAGTGGCCAGAGGGAGGAGCTTGTGGAAGTTTTTAATTGAACGGGAAGTGATAAGAACTATTAGCAGATAAAGCCTGAGCCTTACAAGGAGGCTACATCTCGGTGGAGTTGCTGTGTTTAGGAGCATTGTTTTCAGCTTTCATTGCTTAGAAACTTGATTTTATCCATCAACTTAGGAGTGATTGATTCATATTTAGCAAACTTTTAAAAATTGGTTTATTCCTTCACACTGAAAGCAATATATTAAGCATACTAATTGGGACTGAACATTTTTGTTGGGTACTCAGTCTTCATGGACAACCAAAAGAATAGAAATAATTATGTAATAAATTACATTTTATGGTGCTTTACATTGTCAAGATTTTTCATTCCAAAATACTACTTTGTAAGAACAGAATTTGAGCAAATCTAGTTGGGTAATCTACTGTGCTCTAGGGTTATATCTATTTATATAACTAAGGCTAGTCATCTATAGACTATATCATCTATATCAGCCTTTCTTTTTGCATGTTATTGATTACTGAGAGCTTCATTATCTCTACTTTATAAACAAGGAAATTGTGGCGCAAAAGATAGTGAACGACAGAGCCAAAATTTGAACCAAAGAACCTAAGTGGTCTGGCACCAGAACCCACGTATTTGTTAGTTTCATCTTCTTCCTTTTATAGGTATTAAATAAAGTTAAGATATTAATTAGTCTATTGAAGGGGATGTAAAATTTCTCATTAAAGATCAGCGAGTCTTTTTTAGATAAGAGTTGAAATCTTTAAAACATGTTCCAACCATGATAATATAAGGAAACAGGAAAAGTGAACTCTTGTAATAATCTTTCTTCTTAATAAACCAGGACAGTTGAAGATGCCTTACTGCTCAAAAAGCCATTTCAGAAAGAAAAACATGGAAAGGTGGTCCATAAACAAGTTGCAGCAGAATTGCTGGACAGGTATGGTACTTCAATGTAAATTACTTTTTTTTGGTTCAAGATGTTTTTGCAAACCCGGAAACTTGGGGATTTTATTATATGAATTAAATGTAGACATTTGAATTTGCTTAAAATAAAATTTGTCTTAACAGGGAAGAAGCAAGAAATAGAAGGTTTCATCTCATAGCTATGGATGCTGTATCCTTTTTCTATTTCTCAATTTTATAATTAATACAATTTTTTAAATTATTTCATAAAATCTTGTGAAGTCAGACATATTTCATATTTAAAGATGGAATTTTTTCGTGTATACTTGTTAGTGCAGTTCTTATTTACAATGTATATTATGATTTAGAGACAAAAAATAATAAAACATATTACTAATCTTCTATAAATAGGTTTACAAAGTCCATGTATTTGCATGTTTTCCCAACCTATTTTTGTCAAACTGTCAACATTTCTCATTTTTATGCTATTATCTTCAGTCTCATTTTAACTTTTTATCTTCCTACGTCGTTCTTGGCTACTTAAGGTCTTTGTAAAACTTGTACTTAATAATAGATCTCTCTCATGCCTGCTGTGGCTTTCAACTTTCAGACATGAGTTGGGGCTATCTTTAAGCTATACCTTAACTTCCCTGTTAAAGCTGTGTCTCAGCTCAATTTTTTGATAAATCTGTAACTTATTACACTAATTGCTACCACTGGCCATCCATATTACTGTTGGGAATATTGAAGAATGAAGGGTTTTCTGGGTATTTATTGCTATGGTGAGGATTGGGAGAAGGAGACAATGTCAGCTGGACACATCTGCTCTCCTGTAAGCACGTCTTTCACTTTATCATTCCTGACTCCTTTCTTTAAGTTATAGAAGTTCTCTTGTCACCAGTTTACTTATTCCTCTTATCTCCTAACCCAGTAGCCTAGCTTTCCATGGATCTCATCTGCCACTTGTTCCTTTAGCATCTCTACATCTGCTCTGCCTTCTGGGATACCACTCAGCTGAGGACGTTGGAGCATCTAATTACAGCCTGATGAGAGCGAAAGTCTAGGTCCCCTTTTCCGGCACAGTTAGAGGTGGGGCCATAGGTTTTCTAGAGTGTTTGGCTAGAGTAGAGTAATTATTGTCTAGCTAAATGTTACCTGTCTTCCTAGGCTGCCTCTTTCTCCTAGTTACTTGTTAGAACAGGCTTTTGTTGGGACTTCTTTTGTCGGTACTTATTGTCTTTTCCACATTGCCAGCTTCTTCACCTCCAAGTGAGAGATTAATGAAGTAAAAAGAAAACCAGGGAAGCTCACCACTGTTTCATAAACCATTGGTCTTGAGGTCCCTAGCTGGTCTGCCCTTTTCTCGCTACCTTTCAGAGTCTTCTTATGTTTTATATATAATTTCTAAAGTTTTTAGTTGTTGTTAGTGGAAAGAATAGAGAAAAGTACAGTTGAGCAACACAGGGTTTGAACTGTACGGCTCCACTTATACATGGATTTTTATCAGTAGTAAACACTGTAGTATTAACAGTCTGGTTGGTTGAATCCGTGGATGCAGAGGGCTGACTATAAGTTATATGCAGATTTTGGACACCATGGAAAATGGAGGCCCCTATCCACCCTGTTGTTCAAAGGTCACCTGTACATCTTTGCTCCATCTTCCAGGAAGCAAAGTCCCACCTCCCACCTGTTTTTGTAAATAAATGTTTTATTAGAACACAGCCATGCCCATTCATATAGTTATTATCTGTGCCTACTTTCAGGCTAAAATGGCAGAGCTGAGTAGTTTTGCCAATGACCATATGGCCTGCATACTTACTATTTACAGAGAAAGTTTGCTGACCCAAGATTTAAGTGACTTGCCACCATCTCATGACCAGTTAGTGATAGTCCAAGAGATAGAACCCAGATCGCTGGGTATCTGGCTTTTCTTTTCATTTTTTTTTTCTTTTCTGAAATGTTAATTGCTTTGTTGCCAGTTTGGGAATTATGCTTTGATTCGATATTCTATTAGAACACATTGTGATCAATGAAATCACTGTTCAATATAATAGGGTGTAGTCACAGACAGTATTAGAGTTCTATTATACGCATGTTCAGCTCTGGTGGGAGTACCAGTGAGCTTTTTAAAACAAAATGTAAAATGCTTATATATCTTGTTATATTGCATTGAAAAAACATGACTGTAGCTTCTCTGAACATTAAAAGAAAGTATATGAAATAACATCTGATCTCTTATTTATTTATTTTTAAAAGTCTAATGTTAGGATTTAATATTATAAAAGTTACATCTTCTATTTCAGAGGCTTTATTGTTACTGGAATAGCTAAATTGTGTTTTAAAATAATGAAAGAAAAATTCTACCCCTACCTTTAACTTTAGGAACTAAAGCTTATTTCTCATATTGTGATAATGAAAATGAGTGGTGGTATGAGGCTGTATGTAGTTCAGCAGTAGGATGGAAGCTCTCTTTCTCCCCAGAGAGTTACTGATAGAAAATGTTCAAAACAATATAACAGTATTCAGTAGAAAGGAAAGCCTCTCTACTGTGTTCACTCTCAACAGTTTAGTATTTACCCTTTTAGGTCTTTTTTGAATTTATAGACATGTATATATTTGCATATTTTTTAAAGCTAAATATACTCACACTGTGCTTTCCCCCTAACTGACTAATATATTATTGACACAGAACAACTCCTGAGCAAATAAAATCCTTAATTTTTTGCATTTCAGTATCAAAGGCATACAAAGTTTGTAAATGACTATATTTTATATTACGGTGGCAAAAAAGAAGACTTCAGGCGATCGGGGTAAGTGTCATGAAATTCACATAATGGGAAGGGGGTATGGATGTCTTTCAAGACTCACAGCTGCTGTGTCTTCTGATTCTGTCCTTTTTCTGCTGCTTTCCATTCCAGTTTCTTGGTTACATTGTCGGATGGAGAGGCCATCCATAGCTTCTAGCTAAGTAGCTCATCATGAACCCTGTTTCTCTGGCAACAGGCCTCAGGTAGCCTGCTTAGCCAGAGCTGATCCTGGCAATAAGAGGGTATTTGAGGAATGCTCATGTGCCTGACTCTGCAGTAATTTTTTTTTTTCCACAAGGATCTTTGAAATAATAAACTGTTTAGCCTTCAGTGTTTGGGATTGCCTTTTTAGAGGTAGGGCAAATAAGAAACCTCACTAATAGTCCCCACACATGAAATTCCTCCTTACAGCTGAGACTCTGCTGTCAGAGCCTCCTGGTTTTGTGTGAGTTTTTTTCCTCTGATTTAACAACTTTCTGAGTTGGTAGAGCCCTAAAAAACTTCATATCATCTCATCTACCCCAAACTTTCCTCTCAATTTACCCTGTATTCCCCAGCAACCCCTTGTTCTAGCCCCAGACTGTTACCATCTTGACAGATCATCTTCAGCTCCTTCCTTCTTTACTCAGTCTTCCTAGGAAACTAGTAAAATGAGGTATGGAAAGATTCTTCATATATTTTTAAAATTAGATCTCAATAAGATGGTGTTACTGACTTATTTTAGATTCTGAAACTTATTTTCATTCATTTTTCCTTAACCATTTACTTTATTCAGATTTCTCATCCTAGCTTTGGTAATTTAGCACCCTTTGTACAATTGAAACCAATGATACAGATGGGTAGATTCCTTATCCATTTAACTCGCTTTTTTTTTTAATTGAAATATAGTTAATTTACAGTGTTGTGTCAACTTCTGGTGTACAGTGTAATACTTCAATCATACATATACATAATCATTTTCATTTTTTTTCATTATAAGTTACTACAAGATACTGAATATAGTTCCATGTGCTATACAGTATAAACTTGTTTATCTGTTTTATATATATAGTAGTATCTGCAAATCTTGATCTTCCAATTTACTGCTTCCCACCCTCTTCCCCCTCTGGTAGCCATAAGTTTGTTTTTTATGTTTGTGAGTCTGTTTCTGTTTTGTAGATAAGTTCATTTGTTTTGTTTTGTTTTTTTTAGATTCCACATATGACTGATATCATGTGGTATTTTTTTTTTTCCTTTCTGGCTTACTTCACTTACAATGACAATCTCCGGGTCCATCCATGTTGCTGCAAATGGCATTATTTTACTCTTTTTATGGCTGAGTAGTATTCCATTGTATAGATATACCACAACTTCTTTATCCAGTCATCTGTCAATGGACATTTAGGTTGTTTCTATGTCTTGGCTATTGTAAATAATGCTGCTATGAACACTAGGGTGCATGCATCTTTTTGAAATAAAAGTTCTTTCTGGATATATGCCCAGGAGTGAGATTGCTGGATCATGTGGTAAGTCTATTTTCAGTGTTTTGAAGAATCTCTGCATTGTTTTCCATAATGGCTGCACCAAGCTGCATTCCTACCAACAGTGTAGAAGGGTTCCCTTTTCTCCACACCCTCTCCAGCATTTTATCATTCATGAACTTTTGAATGATGGCCATTCTGACTGGTGTAGGGTGATACCTCATTTGTTAGTTTCTGTATTTTTTCATTTGCTCTGATTAATTCGTGATATTGAGCTAATTTTTAATGTACTA